TAAGACGTTAAAGATATCTACCCATTACTCGTTCAATTGTCTTATAATCAATGGAAGAACTTCTTTAATAAAATATTTTTTTTGTTATTGTTGTAATAACCCAGTTGTTTGTTATATTAATCGAAATATTTTACTTTTTTGTAAATTTATTGCTTATTATATAAAAAAAAAAATATTGTATAATACAATAACTTTCTTTTGATTTCTCTACTAAATGCTCAACATTCTGTAAAGAATATACTGTTGTGATCAGAATGTTTGGCGATAATGCTAGAAGGAGTGTATTACGACACCTAACACCTGCAGAGATGCTTGAATAACGGATGATCCAGAGCAAGACTTATTTTCAATACTTCAATATTTATTATTTCCTCACTGCCACGAAACTCCCCGAAAGACGGTTTCCAGGATCGAAACTGGTTTACATAAGCTCCTATGACTTCCGATTAGCCCTCTATGTACCGAAAATCGAGGAGAATATGTCGACACAGGCCTGCCACCAAGCGCTTCAGCCCAGCTACTACTTCTGTAATATGTTCATCTCCGTAATAGAGCAACTACCGAACAAACGAGCCTTCTTTCAAAGGCAAAGAAAACTTATTACAAAATATCTCTTAGACTTCTTTTTAAAAAGCCCGCCTCTTCCTATCTGCCGTCATCTACAGCCTATTGTTAGAATAGTTGATGTTTGCCATAGGATAGCGACCTTGAACATTCATACTATTAACTAAACATGACTAGATCGTTTCATGGATACTGATCAAGAATATTTATGTATATGTATGGTTTGTATATTTCTGTGACCTGGCGAATGATTGATATATGCCATTAAATGGGTGAACAGACGGACGGATGAGTGGATAGACAAACCTAGATTTGTTTAGAATTTGATGCAGATTAAGAAGGTGTACGCTCTATAGAATCTTTTCCGGAAATTTCCAGTACTTTGGCAAGATCAATATTGCTCTCATCCTTCGGGCAAATCACACATTTTGGAATTAACAAAATATATTGGAATTTTTACATGACAGCTGCAGGCGTTAGATATCCACAGATTCGCCACAAGGCAAATGCAAATTTCTAACTCGCTTTACAACGGCTAAACGTTCTTTTGAATAGAGACCGTTACTGACACCGTTTGGCTCTATAACAATAATTTCACTTTAATTAGCTAAAAAGTATAGTTGCTATGTAATTTGTCGCCTTAAGGCGTGTATAATTTTTGCAAACTTATTCTATGCTCACCGCACACATTCGCTTGAATGATTGACTCGCTTTTATAAGTTTACAGGTTATAATGTAATATTCATTCTCTATTAAAGTAAGTATCGATTACTTTTCCTTATTGCAGTTAATATATAAAACAAGTATAAAAATTTAGATTAGCTATACAATATTTTTATTTATTATTGAAAAACTAAACTGGAAGGCTTCCTTATATACATAGAAGATTTATTTGTATGCATGGTATATATGTGTTTCTAAGAAACTGATACATAATGACAGAAAAAGGTCAATTACGCGTACATGCATGTAAATGTACATTCAGTTACAGATATAAAATATGTAGTCAATAAATGGGTTACAATTTATTGCTTTACTACATTCTTTCTTAAGTTTGTATTCTAATTAATGTAAGTCTTCCACATATGGACTATTTTGCTATATTCCCTGAAAGCTTTGAAGGCTTCCTCGAAAGATTTACGTTATATAGGGTTAAGGCCTCACATTCGGATACCTATAAGGTGTGAGTTTTGGCATAAAAATTACATATTTTGAAAATTTTAATTTGGTAAGCAGTTAAGTTTACTTCATTTCCGAAATTTGTCTCCAAGTGCTTGGTAAGGAAGTGATGATTTTCATGTTAAAAAGGCTCATTAATCGTTCAACATCGGCCAATGTATGTCAATAGTAAAATCTTCATATTTGTGTTTTGAGATCTCGACGTAACAAACTGTTTCTTACGATTAACTTCCCAATTAAGGATATCACCTTGAGATTTGGTTTTCTTGCTTTTTCTTATATCGGTTTAAAACTTTCAAAATTGAATTATAGACAATTATTGGGCGGAGGGACCCGAAAAGTCGATTTTTCGAAACATAGTCGAATACTGAAGAATTTGGCAAATACAAAAGGAGCTGCACAAAATTGCAAGCGTAATCCTGCCATCTTACTAGGAGCATTCAAATTGAAGCTTTAAGTCCCTTTAACCATCATCGCGCTGGTACTTGCTTCCATTTTTAACCGATTGTCTTGAAATTTTAATTGTAGTTCCAAAATGAGATTTTCCTATGAGTACAGAAGAGAGAGTACTTTTTCATTCAATTAGAATTTGCCGGCTCTGACCTCGATTTTTGAGCAATTATTTCGAAAAGAAAATGTTGTGAATCAGCGCCATATTTAAAAAATTTTTTTTTTTATTTTATTTACATAATTACCGAAAATATTTGGTTAGTTGCTGCAAGTATGGTAGTACGGCAAAGGAGGAGAAAAACAAGGTTGTTTTGCAAGGACTTCGCCCTCCTCGTTGTGCTTTTAAAAGGTCTGTAGTTTAAGATTTTTTTTTGCTTACTATAATGACTTTTTATTTGACTGGATTGCTTGAGCAGTTAATGGTCAGCATATAGATATATATATGGATCCAAATGTTAACGTAAACGTGTATACAAGTTCGTGAATATGTTCCCGACTTTTTCTTGGCTATTGGTTAGATGAACAAACCTTTGGTAGTCATGAAGCAGAGCAACAGCGACTTCATCATAGAACGTTTGCAAAAAACATTTTTCAATAAGATCTTCAACGCCATCAAAACTCATTATTTATCATTCAAAGAAAGACATTCTAGTTTTCTAAATAATAGGTATACCTACGCACAAGCCACAGTGTATCAAAAGATCGATTGAAAAAGTTTTCGGCCTTGCCGAAATATTTAAAGGCTCAAATGTCTCATCCATCAACGTTAGTGCCTACCTGTAGTTGGCCCAAAAATTTTAAACTTTGTCAGAAACTGTACTAATGCTTCTGAATCAAATTCGTTCAGCTTAAGAGCTTCTTCTATTTAGCTCACTCTAATATGTTTTAGTTCTCTTTCCAGAATTAGCGAATAAAATCGTACAATCATTCCTTCTCATTATCTTTCACTTTCACACAGTCTTTAGAGTTTTCTATTGTTTGTTTCATAAGTATCGATAAAATTAATACACTCCGTAATAATGCATAAATAAATTCTAAACCAAATTGGCTTCAATATTGATAGCAGAAAAGAAATTGTAACTAAAACAAATTTTCCCCCTCTTCAAGCTAGTAAAGATTCCGAACAATGAAAACGTCATGTAGATGATATTATTTTTTAGCTTTTTCGTTGGATATAAACAATATAAACTTAATGATGATCATCATCATCTCGTCTTTGTCTCAGACGCGTGGGTTTGTATACAATTCAAGATACTGCGGATATATGCCCCAATGAAAGCGAAATTTTTGAAAAACACGTGTAAAAGAGAAGAGAGAAATTAAGAAAAAAACTTGTTTATCTTTTGTGAATACGTATTTAAAGTAAATAATAAATTTCAAATTTACAGCATATTCGTGGCTCTTCGAATGCAATTCAATTGTTGTCTCTCCGCTAACAAAAATTGCTGTTATAGTTTTTATTATTAATTATACACACACTTAGTGTCTAAGGATGGGGGTGGTAGGTTTGTTTGTTTATAACAAATAAAAAAAATACTTGAAAAGATCTACATTGTATATATATGCGTTGCACTTCTTCCAACTAAGTCTGCAAACTATCTTAGTTATGTTCATCTGCTGATCTATCATCTATTGTTGCAACTATTAAGGTCAGTAAAATGAGTGTTAGCTTATGCGTTCAAGTCAACAGACGATGATTGGCTTGATCCGAATGCGAAAACAAGTTCGACAACAAGTTGAAAAGTTGTAAATGGTGCCATGTTATCCAAATTTTCCACTCTTCCACACTTTGATTGTAAAAGTTGTTCGTTCCAATGCATTTTCAATAACGTTTTTCCTTGAATCAAAATGTGTTGATGTATCATCCAAAGTAAGGATTGAATAAAAGAATACATTGCCAGGCGCCGGACATAGAGGATAAAGTCAGGCAGAGCAGCTGACGAGCAGACAGAGAGATATTCTTAAACCAGAGAATGATTTTAAATTGATGAGTGCCTCCCAAGTGCTAGGCATTTCTGGAGTTTGCATGCATCTATACCAACCTTACCATAAAAAATCTGGGATGTAACAAGTAAGAAAGGCATATTTGGCGGGGATCGAATCTCGCACATCCACCACTATGCTTTTCGCATTCTTCTCTCCAATTTCTTTTATTTGACAACCATATCGCTGGTGCTATTATTAAGAAAACATTAATTGTTGTGTCTTCTATACTTACTTTAGAATTAAACCATTTTTAGGTGGATATTACATCTTGATTTGAGCAATGTGCAAAATAGTAAGCACAAAGCCTCAAAAGGATGAAAAGTGTAATCATGTGTAGCTTTGTGTGGGCATGGCCGAGTAAAGAGTAGAGTGTCTCGCAATGTAAATATGGAAAATTTCAATCTTCTGACATTTAAGAAGGAGTTGCGTTCAGTTTATGCCCCACGGCTAGTTTCTGCTCTAATCAATTTGACCCATTTTCAATACTAAAACGCATCAAAAAACTCCTATTGTTTTTACTAAATTTGAAGGCGATATCTTCATTGCTGCGACCGGGAGAGTGCCAACAACAAACCCCACCCAGACGGAGGGACACGGCTTAAGCAATTTAGAATTTCACTGTGATCAAGATTTCAGTAATCTCCGTCCTTCAGTTGTGGGTATAAAAAGAAATTAGAACAACAAGATAACCTCACAAGAGTAGACTAAGAAAACTTACTCGCAGACAATGAACATAATTAACGTTTTAAAAATCTAGACGTAGAGTCTAAACGTATACATACATAGAAGTGTAATTTTTATGTATAGTCCATCTATAGCTATATTCCGCAAGCATACGAGTACTTATCATTGTGCGTAGCGGTATCTTTCATAACATTCACGTAAAATACTTTAATGTACTTATGAATAAACTGAATGTGTGTCTTTGCCATTGCTGTCATTTATTTGATTTGTTATTTAAAATAGTGAAAAGGGTTCTATTGATTTTATAAACTGCTTCGTTTAAAGAAAAATTATTAAAAAAATTTTCTAGTATAAATAATAAAATGGACGGAAGGCATCACGACTCCGAAAAAGAAGAATTCCGAAGGGCAACAATGCAAGCTATTGGTAAACAAAACAATGAACGCAGTTTAATGAATTTTGTGCGAGCGATTTTTGGAGTTTCAAACGAACTTGTGACGGACAAACCAAATCACGAGGAGGTAACTATAACGAAAATATTCGAAAATCATAAAGTGAAATGTTTTTCAATTTAGATATTTAGCGCTTTAAGTGAAGCTAAGCGCTTGGAAACCTTGAAAGGCAAAGAAGTGAAGCCGGAAAAAACTGATAAATCTGAACCCGAACTGGACAAGGGAAAAAAAATGCTAACCAAAGGCGCCTTAAGGCGACAAAGGGTACGAGATAATCTCGCCAAACGCAAGCAAAAGTTTTCACAATTGAACTAAACAAGATGAATACGTCCGCATAATATTGGCCTACTGTTTTGTAACAAAAAAAAAAATTCTAATATATTATAGTTTTTTTTAACAGAAATATGACTTATATGGAATGGATTGTTTTATGCGCAATATTAAGGGGAACAGGAAGCTTCAGTAGCTTAACAGTTTGAAAGGGAGCGAATCGAGAGCTGCTCTAGTTTTAAGAGCGACTTTAGATTTGGTTAATGTAACGTGAATGGTCTTAGGTGTTCAGACGCAATACATTTGCTTTAGATTCTCACTTTGCCAAGCATTCAATTTTTTACGAGATGTCAGCTATTGTTTAAAGCAATATTAGTTGATCTAGCTAAGCCGACCTGATTTGATCCGAATCAACGTATTCATATCAACTGTCATTAGATGAGATACAATCGTATCACCACTGATGCCGTCGTTTAGTAGCTTAACAGATTTTCAGCAATTGCATGAACTCGCAACAGTCGAACACTTAGCAAGGGAACGAATCAAGAGCTGCTCTATTTTTCAAGGCGACCTTAGATTTTGTCAATGTACCGTGAATGGTCTTAGGGGTTCAGATGCAAAATATTTGCTTTAGATTCTTAATTTCTTCTATACATTATTCTAAGGGAGCTTCTTTGCCCGCTTCAGTATTTATCGCTTCAGTAAAATGATGGTGAAGGACAGCGTGGTCTTGTATTTGTCTAAGTTGAGTTTGGAAACCTATTTGGGAGATGCAATTAGTGCAAAAATTAGTGATTTGTTCTTCAAAGTCCTCAAATTATATTACTAGACAGTGGCTAAAGTTACTTCAGTTCGATCCATACCTGAGGCCTCAGCTAATTCATTAGATAAGAGAAAGCTATTAGACTTGAATCGAAAATCAATACAAACGATGGCACTTGTATTGCCTTCAAACTCATCCAATTGACATCGCGCTTCGACTTGGAAGTATGGCTTGATTATCATTATTATTGGAATTTAGGATAAAAAAATTTAATATGAACCTGTCTTGTTTGCTCCAAAGTAATAACAATCCAAATTCCTAAAAAATGCGAAAATTTTTATCAAAATTCTTTGGAATATAATAGAAATCGTGATAATAATTTTTTTAGATTTATTAAATGCAAAAATCGGGGCAACAGTCCTAGCTTGGTAAAGAAAAATTAATCTCTCATCAAAGCATTGCACAGTTTTTTACAGAATCCGAGCATCCATCATGTCCATCAGTTTTGATCTTCTCTCTATCTATGTTTAACTTCCGACTCTTTTTTTACCTACAAAAAATTCTCATGTGTGGCAGATTTTTATCATGCGCGCTCCAAATATCTGTGTTGAGTGATCTCCAAAAAATTACTTCAGTAACATTTGAGATTTTTTTTTAATGCTTTACAAAATGAACGGTGAACTTCATCGCTTACAAAATTTAGTGGGTTCTCTTTTTTTTTAGGGACATATGTCTATAATTTGTTTCTTACAAAATTTGTTTACTTAATAGGAGAAATTAAAAATTAGGCTAAATATCTCCGACCACATTATTAAAAAAATTTTGATTCTAAAAATAGTTCTAGCGTTAGATACATTCGAATTTCAATGTATTAGAGTATGAATGCAATGAATGGATTGAATGAAATATTTTGACTTTTATGGAAGATATGATATTTTTTAGATCACCGAACATTTCATAAAAAGTACAGCGTCAAGACCATTGCTTAGTATATTAGAAAATTAAAAAAACTAAAAAAAATTAATTTTATGCTTTTTCGTCTTTTTGGCCATTATTTTGTTAGTCCGCCTTTAATTAAGAGACGGTAATTTTCCATTCATTAACTACATATATAGTGATAGGTGGGTGTCGCTCGCTCTTATACATACAAAAAAAAAAAAATGTCTAGAGAAATAAGATTAGTTTCGTACGATTTTTTTTCTTTCCTTTAAAAAAATAAAATAATAAAAATTATTATTCATTATGCAACAAATATAATACATAAAGACAAGCTATGTCCAGCAATCTAAAATGGAAAATTTATGAAGTATTACATAAGAGTATGGTAGAAAGGTGAAACTGTCTGAACTGAATTTTAAAATGAACAAATATATAATTGCTCTGAATTATCTTGACAGATCTGCTCTTGACCTCTTAGTGAGTATTTTTATAAATATTTTTCCAAAGACCAGTTTTTCGAGCACTGCCCATATAGCCCTTAGCTTGTTAGGTTGTTATAAGAACAAATATTGTAATATTTAGAATTTCGCAACAAAAATCGGTTAGTAATAGTATTTCGGCATCCTGAATTGGTATGAAAGCTTTGGATCGGATGGCGCAATTTTTTGAACACTCTGTCATATAACCACTCCTAGGAAAACTGAATTCTTTAATAGTAAAAAGGCATAACGTCGAATACTTCTTGATAATAATTCGACATCAAAAATTATCTTCCAGAATTTGGGTCACATAGGTGCATATTTTAGATACCGATTCCATCCATATATGGATTCTAATAAAACATCATTAAGCTTTATATGTCGAAAAGGTCTAATTTTTAATACCTTATGATAAATATTTATCTTTACAAAATCAACCATAGGGAATTTGAATCAGATAGATCTACTTCTTAGATCACATCATGTATAAGGGCTATCATGGAAGCAAACTATTCTATGGCGGCAAAGTCTAAATTGTGGTTTGTTATGGCAAAAGCAACTGAAAAGTAATAAAATCTTTAAAAAGTAGATGACTTCATTATCCACTATGAGTACTTTCATGAAAATTATGCATTTACATAAAAATGATGCATCAAGTAGTGTAGTAGTGCAAGCAGTGTAAGATATCTAATAGGCGGCCTTACCCGACTATAGCATTCTTAGTCGTTTTACTTGGATTTCACTTATTCCAACTCCTAATGTTTTCTTAATTTCTTTTTTTTTTTTTGGTTGTTTTTAAAAGTAACGCTAACGTAAAGCTAACGTATTCATACCGCAGACCTTTAAAGTTGCCTCAGTTTTCAATGCATTCGTGTTGACGTGACGGTAACTGTCGCAGTCAGATAAGATGAGTAGAAAGAATTGACACAGAATTTGGACATTGAATCAAATTATATGAATATATGAGGCGTATTTGCAAACGTTATATTTTCCGGTTGTAAAATTAAATTAAATTAATTAATTTATGAGTAAAATAATCAAAAATAACTAATTCATAAGGAAATCTTAAAATCTAAATAACGCGATCAAAATTAGAAAAGCGAACGAAAATGAGGTCTGTTGAAATATTGGTTTGTATAATAAGTTCATAGCGTTTTATTTTTTAAAGTTACTATGTTGAGTGCTATTTGAACTATAAGTTTAAATTAATGACTAATCGCGACCCGTTTATTAATGGCATTTCGGTAAAATATCTTTGAACGGCGAGCTTTTTTTCAGAAAATTATAACATGAACTCCGTAGGCCTGGATAACACTCTATCTAGATCTCTTAAGTAAACATTTAAAGAACCGCTTTGACGAACTTTAATATACGGACTTAAGCATTCCCAAAGTGAGAAAGTGCTGGGACAACTCCGTCGTTATATTTAGCTAAGAGCCATTATAAATAAGTTTTCTTCAACAGCTTTGCGAACATGTCTTTTCAATATCACTAAAAGCCGATCATAATGTTCTTAGGATGCTTCTTTCGAGCCTACCACCTATCTCTTTCACCAGCTTGTATGTAATAATATTCCCAAGGCTTAATTTCTTTAACTTGTTTCACTTGACACTGCTGTAGCAAACTAAACGAATTGAAACAAATTTTAGAGTCTTCCGAGAGGTCTATTTACATATTGTTATCTTCTTCGAATATAAAAACTTTCGAAACAATCTAAGGCTTCCTAGTGTTCTTATTTACATACATATACTGTCAGCAAACTATATAAGAAAAATTGTGATGTGAATTAAATGAAAACACGTGTATTTTCGTTTAATATTTTGTATCTTTATAATATATTTTTTATTTATTTATAAATTTGTTGAATTTTGTTTTATTTAAACTTTTACAAATACATTTTATTATATTAATTGTAAGTAATGTTTGTATATGTATGTATGTGTAGGTATTTTTAAACACATTTGTCATTTTGTTTTTCAATATTTTCTCTTCATTTTTAAAATAACATTAATAACAATTAAACAGCAATATATATATATATATATATATGCATGTAAAATGATTTTTTGATCAGTTTTTTAAAAAAACTCTTTGTTTTCTTGTTTTTTTTTTCCTTCCTTTTATGCCTGTTTCTGAAAATACTGTCGAAAAATATATTTAATTGTATGTAAAAATGTTTTCGGTATATAAGTGTAAGTGTGTTTGTGTTTGCGTTTGGAAGTGTATGGGGAAGTGTCGTAATTTTCCTTTCTGTGTTTAAATTTAAAAAATTAAAATATTTTTCTTTTTACTCTCTACAAATACATATATATATATATAAAAAAAAATGTAATTAATTAACAGTAATCTCTTTGTTTATAAAACAAATAAATTTCCTTTAAAATTGATTTATATAAGAAATGTTTTTCACTTGTAATTGTTTCTATATATATATATATATGTATTAATTAATCATAATAAAGTTATGGCAGAATTATTAATAAAAAAATTTTTTACTTTAAACTTAAATGCTATCGAAACATATTTCACACGCACAAAACATTACTAAACGAGTTTTTTTTGAACATTTTCTTTTTGGAAAAAATTAAGCGAAAAGTGTGCTGTCGTTAAGTTTAGTAGTTGTTAAGGGCTATTTACAAAAGATAACATAGAATAATAACAAAAGAATAAAAAATTAATATAAGTGTGGATGACAATTGTTGTTGTTTCTTTACTTTACTTTTCTTTTGTTCTATTCTAACGTTAATTTTATAGGTGTTGATGTTTTTTAATGGTTTCTCCTCTCTTAATAATTTTTAATAAATATCTGTTTCCTTCTTTACGAGAAGTCGTTCGCGTCATTTAAAGTAATTGAGTTTATTCGTCTAGTAAGCAGGTTCTAATAAGAGCATCGCACACAGCGTACGGATCGCAATTAGAACTGGGACGACGATCTTCTAAGTAGCCTTTGCCAGCATTGGCTACGCCTCGTGGTACGCGTACACTAACGCCACGATTAGCTATGCCCCAAGAGAATTTGTCAATGCTCGAGGTCTCTAAACGGCCGACCAAGCGTCGCTCGTTGTCTTTGCCTTCTTTGGGATCATAAGCTTTTATATGGCGATCATGACGTTTACTTAATTTTTCTATAGCTTCTTCTATTGGTTTCATGCCGCCGTCTGATCGCATGGCCTTAGTAGAGAAATTAGTATGAGCGCCGGCGCCATTCCAAGGACCTTCCATAGGTTTAGGATCGAAGGTGACTACAACGCCAAACTCTTCAGCAATGCGTTGGAGAATGTAACGTGACATCCAGAGATCATCTGCAGCTTTCATGCCAACGCTGGGTCCTACTTGGTATTCCCACTGAGCAGGCATTACTTCGGCGTTAGTTCCGGCAAAGTCAACACCCGCATATAAACAAGCCAAGGCGTGAGCTTCCACCAAATCGCGAGCATAAACACGATCGGCACCTACGCCGCAATAGTAGGGACCCTGGGGAGCAGGAAAACCATTGGCCGGCCAACCGAAGGGATGGCCGTCAACATCCAACAGAGTGTATTCCTGTTCAATGCCAAACCAAGGCTCATGAGCAGTCACTTTGTCTATGGCAGCTTGGAGAGAAGCTCGCTTATTCGATTCGGTCGCCGTGCCGTCGGCTTTATAAGTATCGCACATCACGATAATATCATTTTTACCAGGTTTAAAAGGATCCTTGTATATGGCACGAGGTACTAGAGTTGTGTCCGAATTTTCACCCGAAGCCTGATAAGTAGAACTGCCATCGTACTGCCATTTAGGTAAATCCGCAGCACTTGATGGGATTTTGTCTAAAACGCGATCCTTTAGACGAACATTCTCGCCAGTGCCATCAATCCATAAATAAGTGGCCTGATATCGGTCGACAGGTGTTTCCAATTTCCGATACCGATCTAGAATCGTTTTATCCAAGGCCGCATTGGGAGAGTTTTTCAAGAAATTACCCTGACCCAGAGCGGTAGTAGTACTTAATGCACGTACTTGCTTGCCTGAGGACGCAAGTTCTTTGCCCAGGAAAAGACCAGCACATCTTAAAGCCATTTTTCTAGTTTCTTTCGTAGTTGTTCGTTGGTTTAATATTAATTTAAAATTAGTTCAAGGACGATTAGTTTTAAAAGCTTTGTAAGAAATGCGTTTAATTAACGTTAAAATTTTTAGTGATTTGCTCGAAGTAAAGATTTGTACTAAGAAGATATTAAAATGTTATGTTTTTATATGTTTGTGTGTCTTTTTAAATCATTTCACTTTTGTTTTTTTTTTATTTATTTACTTTTCGTTCTTCTGATACACGCACAAATATGCACTAACGACGATAAACTCGATGTTTTCTGTTTTATTAACTTCTGTTTTTTTTTTTCTTTTCTTCTTTTTTTAATTGCGATATGAATACAAAAACCTTTGCTTTTTTTTTAATATAACATGTAGTCCATAAACTGGACATCCATTCTCTATGAAGAATTGAATTGTTGTGAATGCAAAGAGCTACGAAACAAATACTTTTCTCGCCTCGGTCAACTGCTTGAAATTTTCTTTAACAATAAGCTCTGCAGCGATAGAAAGCGATAGCCGTAAGAGAATACGAAATTTGATTACAAAAAAAAAAAAAAGAGTCTGAGAGATATGGCGAAAGAGTAAGTAAGAGAGAGATAACATAATAACAACAAGTTTACACTTTACATTAATGCTAATAATAATGCTAATAATACAGCCAGTACAGGGTAGATTAAACTGCCAATAAATAAAGCTCTGCCTGCAACCACAGGCAGAAGTATTTCTTATGATAAACAATAAAATTAATGTTTTTATTATCAGTAATTTTCCATAATGCTCGTTTTTTTTTCTTGTTTTTATTTACAATTGGTTCATACATACATACATACATAAATGGATTATCAATGACCCTCTTGTTTATTTTCGGTAGCTGTTTACAAAATATTATTATTTTGATTTTGTTTTTCTTCCATTTTATTTTACGCATTTTTAGTTTTCTTAATATTGTTTACATGTTTGTAAAGAAATGTGGAATTTATTAGACATAACAGGTTCTCTTTTTTTTCCTGTTTCTTTTTTACGCTCTCTCTTGCTTCGGATTTACATTACAGCTTAAGCAAATTATTTTCCGTTTTTTTTTTTTTTTTCCGTTTGAATTTTTCTTCGCTCACTAAACTAACATTTGATTGCTTATGCTCAACGAATATATGTAATTTAACAGAATCAACTAATATACTGTATAATAATTACAGAGCATTTGGTAGAAATTTTATTATTGTTTGATTAGTTTACTAATTTCGTTTATTGCGAGAGCTGACGAAGGGCACGAAGAGAAACATAAATAAATAGTATGGAAAGCTATTATGATAAACTTTGTTTGAAGCAGTGAAAGAATATATGTAATTAAATAATAAGTAAGGTTGACTTGTCGGCTTGTTTGCATGTAATGAACGTAGGTCCTATTCTGCTGCTAACTGTTTATCGGTGAAATGGTCGATAAAAGTTCAAGATGTATTTACAGCCGGTAAAATATTGGTTTTAATTTTAATCATTATGGCGGGCATTTATCAAGTGATTATTGGCGAAGCAAACAGTTTCGATAACCTCCGTGAGGGAAATTATAGGGTGTCTAATAATGGATTTGCATTCTACTCGGGTCTATTCGCTTTTGGTGGATGGTTTTATTTAAACTTTGTTACGGAAGAGTTACAAGATCCGTGTAGGTAAGTTTAATATGATATAAATTAAAGCAATTTGTTCAAAAGCACATATTTTATATATCACTCTGATGATTGCTAGGCGTGTCGTCGGAAGCATGTTTGCATTCAAGTTTAAAGATGGCTCAGATCTGCAGTCTGCATAAAACATCTGCAATAGCTGCATTAGCAAATTTATTCAACTTTGCGAACGGAAGAATGTTTATTACAGATAATACATAGTGGACGGACGGACAGGCGGATATGCATATGTGCATTCCGAATTTTTACAGAATTTTTGATTTTTTGAAATTTGTTTGTGTGCGTTGACAAAATCCAAATTTTCATAGACTATAATATTGGATAGGCGTTATCAACTTTTTCCATTTTTATACAGTATCGCCCATAGAATACACGTTCAAATTTTTATAGTTTGTGAGCAATAAGCCAAAAGGAAATTTTTTTTTCTTTTGTAAAACAAGGCCGTTTTTCGTTTAAGTGGTACTGTAGTTGTATCCTTTGCCCGATTTGTCTCAATTACAATACGAAGCTGCGTACAAGAGCTTTCAATGAGTTAGAGAGAATTTGATGGCGATAGAATCAATTTTTGCGCTGACATGCTTGAAATCGATTCAGAATTTGATGCTGAGCAAAAATATACTTTGTGCGGTCTCTTCTGGGTGTTGCAAACGTGTCTACAAACTGAATATACCCCTCACATTTCAGTAATAGGTATAAAAATAATTTAGCCTAAGAGAACGGGTAAAAGTGCACTGTAATATGTGAACTCTTAGCAGCCGAAGAGCTTTTCTTAAGATTTTCTCTTATATTATTAAGCTTTTAAGTGATTGATAAGACCTCAATATCAACTTTTCAAAATAAAAACAATACTTTATTTGGCTTAGAACGAATCTCACAACATCAGCCAATTATCTGTTCTTGCTGCTTTCAAATAAACACCTCTCTTTATCGATATGATTTGTGTTATTTGAATATGTTAGCGTTGATCACATGTTTGGCATACATTATCGTCTTGTATTGTTTCGCATTACAGACATTGTATTAACAGTGATCGAAGAGCAATAACACATAAGATAACGTAAGCAAAGAAGGATTAAAAAGGATTAAAAATAATCTTGAGCCGATAGCCTGTGCTGCTAGTGCTCAATGTCTTTTTTTTTTTTAGTCAAAGAATTTATTTCATTAGTCTAAAATTATGATAATAATAATAATAATGAAAGTAATCTTATTAAATATGACTTAACCGATTTTCAAGCTTAACCTGCCTTCATTGAAGCAAACATATTTAAGCCTATTGGCATTGTAAACTGAATCTAAATCAAATTTTATCTTTATAATGATTAAGAATACAGATTACAAGATATTGTTTGATGTTCACGTTTTTGAACAAAGTTTACCTGCTTGACATACTCGATAATTGAGAAGGTAAAGGGACCCCATATCCATAACATACGTACTTTGTTATTGGAAAAAGTCTAATACAATTTATATCAAAAATTGATTTGAGAATTTCTTGGTATTTAATTTAATCCCAGGGAGAAGACAAATTTTCAACTAAGCTTGTTTTTCCAAGTTGATAGATAACAAGTCACGACCGTCTTTCGAATTACTCGACAATGCAGTAAATTTCTTGAATATCTTATATTATATTGTTGTAATGAATTTTTCGTTACACTTAGCAAAACAAATTAATTATGCATCTATTTAGGAAATCATCTAATGTATCCCTCTCTCTCTCTGTTGAGTATAAAGCAAAGAGCAAAAAATATTACGTTGAGAATTGCTCTCTTTTTTGGGCTAAAAAAATTGTGAGAAATATGTTATTTATTGCAAATATTTGCAGCAGAGCCGCGGAGCCTACATACAACGTTCGTTTGAAGAGTAATCGAGAAAAATTGTTGTTTATGCGTATAAGCCTATAAAACAAAGAAAGGGAACAATGACCCAATGAAGAACTTTGAACTGTTTTGAGAGAAACCACGATATCGCAAAAGAATGGAAAGGCAAGAAACATTGATACACTCCGACGCAAACATGCTGTTGATTGTTTATTTTCGTTGAACCGTTTCCTTCAAATACATTCTCATTATGCTCTAACAGCTGACGACTAAACTATTAATATAAACCTGTTTTTCCGTAAACACATGCATAGGCGAATGTGCATATATATGCATATGCACTTTTTTTTAAACAAACATTTGTCGTACAAAAAAAAAAAAAAAAAGTAGAAGAAAAACAAAACATTACAAAAGCAAACTTAACTTTGTAGGGAAACTTGTTTATAATATTGTTATTGTTGTTATTATTATTATTATTATATTAGTATTTTTTATTACTAAATCAATTCGTTGTCGGTGTATCCGTCGGTCCGATAAACAAATTGAAAATTTGCATATTTTCCCTTTGGTAGCAGATTTCTAAGCGATCAATTTGCATTATTTGCTGGTTAACCATGAAATTTAACTTGTTTTTTTCCATGTTTTAACTTAACAACAAATCGAACAAATGTTTTACAAAAGCACATATGCACACATACGTGAATCAGTTAAGATACTTGGAAAATAAAACAATGAAAATTAGGTGAAAATACCTGAATATCTTGCATTACACTCGCATTACATTTCGTTTATAAACATAAACACTATAGATAAGTAATGAACTTTGGACTAAAACAAGAGGCATTCGATGTGGTGACGCAACGATATAAACTGGTTCTTTTATAATGACGACGATGATGATAGAGACACGTTTGTATAGCATGATCATAACTGTTGTAGGCTTTAAAAACTTTGCTTTGCGTTTCGCTAAGCTCTGGTTAAAATGTGTCACTCTACGAGCACGTGTCCAAGATTGTTAACAGACTGGCTTACGCTAAGAGCTGGAATGATATTAACATAAGCGATCAGAGGTAATAAATTATTATTATTATTTTTCTTATTAGTATATCGAGAACGAGAATCTGTACAGCAGCAAACTGAAAAATCTTTGGAATTCCCTTTGCTTCCCTTTAGAAACACCATACTGCGTCTGTCGTTGCCTATTATTCGCCAAACATGTAATGCCTGATTGCGCAGATGACAGCGCCTTCACAGAAAATGTGTTAAAATCTTTCAGTTCACATCTGACTGCGATGAAGGCTTTCCCTGTAGGTGCCAATAACCCAGCTTTGGTCATCCTTTCGCTATTCCGTTGATCTTTTTGCTTTTTGCTTCCCTTTACGTTGGTATGTGCTTTCAATATCTGCCTCTGTTTGCGCGACGTAAGACGAACCTTAGATGTACATGATTTATGCTAAACATATAAATAAGGTCGTGTCCACTTGATCGACTTCACTTTAAAGTAAATTTTTGATTCTTTTGAATTATTCGTTTTAAAAATGAAATCAAAGCTCCTGCCAACTTTCAGGAGCAGACGTAACTAGTTGTGCCGAGCAATAAACAAAAGTTGCTTCAGCGTAAGTATTACCTCTGAGCTGTAAGCTACGCTTGAAGTGTCTATCCTTTGGAAATCTTTAGCAGGTTGTGTTCCGTGGTAAAAAAAAGAAGCAAACGCAAGAACTTTTCCCGCTTAATTCTATTGTTGAACACTAAGACGTCACAAAAAAAATAGCCTCAATGCAATATCCCAACCGATGAAATTTAATCCAAGAACAAGATAAGATGATTTGGCAGATATACAAAAGGCGTTAGTCGCAACGAACTGCAAAGTGTTATCCTTTATTACTATTTCCCTATTTTTGTCTTTTCTGATTAACACCTAATTTACTCACTTGT